TCGGGACTGGGAACTCTGTGGTGGCGAATGACCCAGGGGGCTGCCAGCTCCAGAGGAGCCATGCTCAGGACAAGGCACTGGGACCAACCCCTCTGGTCCTGCAGGGCTCCGCAGGTACTTGCTGTCCCTGGGGCTGTGCAGCAGCATCCTGCAGACTCCCCTGTGCCTCCTGCCCTTGCCCCCAGCAGGGAGGGCTGGGACCTGTCGGGCAGCATGGTGAGAACCTGCCCAGTGCTGCTCGTGAGCCCTTGCTGGTGTCCAGCATGGCCAGCAAGGATGGAGGTGGTTGTCAGAGGAGGACGGGGCTGCAGCCAGTGCTCAGTGCAACGAGGCTGCTGGCTCCCCAGGGCCATGTGCCGGCCCTGCTCCTCCCATGGGAGCACAGGTGGGGATGGGACCATGGCAGAGGGGAGCAATGATGAGCAGAGGGCAGGGTCTGGCTGAGCCGCATGGTACGGGGACCTGTCAAGCTCTGGTGTCGCAGCTAGGAACAGCAGTTGTCACCGGAGCTGCATCGATCCCAGAAACCCGACTGGCGTCGTCCGCGTCTCCAGTCGAAGCGGTGACCTTGTGTCCTTGGGAAGGGCGCTGGTGGGAGACACACGCAGCCGAGGGGCCGGAGTCACTGGGCTGGGGCTGGGCTGCCCTGTTGAGCGGGGCCTGGTGCCTGCTGGCCCTGGGGCTCCTGCCTCCTCGGTGCTGCCGTGGGGCTGGGCCAGGGCAATGGCCCAGCGCGGAGCTCCTTTCCACCGCGCTCCGTCCCGGTAAGGATGGCCTGGCCTGGAGGCTGCTGCCAGAGGGAACAGGCTGTGCTGAGCCGGAGCCAGCGCAGCCCCGCGGGAGCCAGTGGGGTTATTGCATTGGCAGCTAATCTAATCGCTGGGGAGCAGCGCAGCGGGCAGGGAGCACCGGCGAGCGGAGGTGAGAGCCCGGGCGGCGATGCGGGGCCGGGAGGCCTCGCGCCGGGGGCTGGGAGCCCAGCTGTGACCTTGTGTCCGGGTGGAGGACATCTGGTGGCCCGGCCCCAGCAGCAGGCGTCCCCAGCCAGGGCCCCGCAGCTCCCAGCAGCCCTGTGTGGCTCTGCGCGGCCCACGTGGCTGTGCATGAAGAGGGCTGTGATGGCCAGGCCAGCACCGCCTGCCCCAGGCCGGGCTTGCACCCTGCCTGGACTGGGAGCAAGCCCGATGCTGTCTCTGTTTATGCCCCGACAGCACCCCAATGCTGCAGTTTTGTCCCACAGCCTCCCCAGGGGCAGCTGGATGGGGCGGGTGCAGGGCGGTGACGCCTGCGGCGGGGGGGGTGCGGGGGGGCAGCGGCAGGTGAAGTGCTTGGGCTGCCTGTGCTTTGCCCATCATGGTGGCATCTGGGCAGTAAGGGGCTGTGTCCCCATGGCCGGGGGTGTCACTGGCAAGGAGCATGCCGAGCTCTTTGGGTTAGTTGGATGGGGCTGTGGGGATGCCTAGGGCTCTGGGCCAGTGCTGGAGGCAGAGGCAGGACGGGTTTCAGAGGGGTGGATGTGCTCTGGACTCTGCGCAGTAGCCAGCAGGGGCAGTGGGGCTGGGCTGGCTTCGCAGTGGCTCAGGCACATGCTGGGGGCAGGGGAGCTCAGTGTGGAGGCTGTGGGTTCGCATGGGCGTCCCTGGGGTGGGTGCAGGAACAGTGTTTCTGGCAGCAGGTGTCTGTGGGGTGGGAGCCAGGGGGCCCTGTGAGGTGCAGGCACAGCTGGGCTGGTCCCGGAGGAGCTGGTGGCCGGGCGTCGGGCAGGACCATCCTGCTCCGGCTGTGCTCGTCCCAGCATGGGCAGTGATGGGCACTGGCGCCGCAGGACAAACCGGCTGTGAGCAGCGCCCCAGGCACCAGGCGCTGTGCAGGATGGGGCTGCAGGTGGTCCATGAAGGGGTAATGCTGCGGGCAGAGCCAGGGGCCTTGCCGAGCGGGGA